AAAATCTCAAAAAAAAAAAAAAAAAAAAAAAAGAGAGAGAGAGAGAGAGAAGCATCTGTCAGTATAACTTACACAGGTGTGAAGGGGACAGAATCATAGGTAGGCAGAGGAAACTTAGAGACTTAATCTCAGGAAGGACAGCTGAATTCGTCAGGGTTCTCCAGAGAAATAAATGCATAGTCTGAGGTGGAGATAGACACAGAGAGAGAGAGTTCTTTTGAGGAACTGGCTCACATGAGCACGCGGCTAAATTTCCAGGACAGGCTGAGGCTGGCAGGCTGAAGTCGAGGTGAGGAATTGACGTGCAAGCCCTCCTCCTCCATTCTCCTCTCAGGATCTTGGGCACGCACACACACATGCCTGGTGCGAGTTTAAGCCACTGGATCTGGGTCAAACCACGGTCGACTACACGGGAGTCCAGTGATATAGCCATTACGCCAACTGCTGGTCCCAACCCAGACTTTTTTTTTTTTTTTGGAGGGGTTTTTGCTATAGGGCGCGTGCGCTCACCAGATAGACAGACAGAGACAGAGAGACAGAAAGTGAGAAATCACCCCCAGGGGGGATGGCCACACCCCAATCCCTTCTCCTCCATTCCCCTCTCGGGTTCTTGGGCACGCACGCACACGTGCCCAGTGTGAGTTTTAAGCCCGGGACGCAAAACGCGGTCAACTACGTGGGAGTCCAGCAACATAGCCATTACGCCAACTGCTGGTTTCCCCCAGACTTATTTTTAATTAAAACATTCAGTAGATGAACTGAGAGTTGAAATGGTTGCTCCTGAGCATTGAATTGATCATCTGAAAGATTCGTCAAAACACAAAACCAGTCACAAAGAAATGGCGGCATGAACGAAAAGACAGTGTGGAGGAGAGGTCTAGACCCTAACCTGTGAGGAGCAGAAATTCCAGATCATCAAAAGAACAGATGATGGGGCCGCAGATGGCACGGTGGTTAAGGGCGCTGGACTCGCACATGGAGGACTAAGGTTCAAGTCCTGGACCAGGCGGCTTGCTTTCTCTCTTTCTCTCCTCTCTCTCTCACTGTCTGGTCAAATGAAAATAAATAAATAAATAATAATTTAAAAAAAAAAAAAAAGAACAGATGAGAGAGTTATTACATTCTAGAAAAAAGCATTCCCCAAGCAGAAGATTTGAATGTTCAGATCATTGAGACATAGACAGGAAAATACACAAACATCTATAAATAGCCTAGTGAAATTTCTAAATTTCAAGGATACACGAATTCTGATAAGCATCCAGATGATCCTTCTGAGGCAGGAGTGCTGGGCCATCAGACCCAACTCCCGTGTTGGTGCTTGTGCTATGCTCATGAAGAATTAGAGACGCCGACACAGAGAGGATAGGAAAGTGGAGTTTATTAGGGAAGGAGGAAAAGCTTCCTATGCAGTAGAGGGGCCCAAATGGGTTGCCAAAGGGGCTGGAGATGAGGTTTTATCCAGCAGTCTGAGCAGCGGGCTGGCTTTCTGATAAGAAGTGTGCATTAGAACATGGTTACAGGGTAGTCTGCGTGACTTATTACCCTCTTCGTGGGGTCGGCAGACCATAGTGCCCTGTACTTCCTGTTAGAACGCAGTTACTGAACAGAAGCCGTCGCCCTTAGCTACAGTTGCTGTGAGTCCCAGTGCAGGCAGCTTGTGGCTGGGAAGACTTAGCCACTGTGACTCCATCTTGGGTCTTTACCCTGTCTGTGTGCTATCTCCTGCCTTATTAGCAAGGAGTCATAAATTCCTTAGAGACACTTGAGAGGGTGTATATTGTACATTAACCAGACCCGAGAGGAAAACCACAGAGACGTCATTAAAAAGACAAACACAGGGACTTCCTTTGGGGCCTTAGCTTATCTAGCAGGAAGTGGGTCTAACTCCTCTCTCACTTCCAAAAGGGAGAGCATCAGAGTGGCCTTGTATTTCTTCTCTAAGATATTGGGAAGTAGAGTAACAGATAGAGAGACAGACAGAGATACGTCACTGGGGAGGAGCACTGTGATTCTCTACCTAAACCTGGTCGAGAAGGGATTTCCTGGCAGGACAGAAGACACTTTCAGAAACACAAGGAGTCAGAGCACCCAGTACGCTGCTTCAGAGATGCCCTGAGAAGTGTGCCCGCCAGGAGGCGATGGAAGCACAGCAAAGCTTTGTAGGTAAGAGACAAAAAGGAGAGAAGCTGAAGTAGGCCGTGGTCTTGTAATGAGAATTAGACCTGGGGCTAGCGGTGGCTTTGTGGTTAAGGAGGCTACGTCCCACTCAGCCAACTTTGCGGTTCAAGTTCTGGGCCTGGCGGCTTAGGAAACACACTGGGCACATGTGCATGCATGCCCGAAATTCTGAGAAAAGAGTGGCAGAAAAGGGACTGTGGTGTGGCCATCCTCCTGGGGGGTGATTTCTCTCTTTCTCTCTGGTGAATACACACACCTTATAGTAGAAACTAAAAAAAAAAAAAAAAAAAAGACCCTGTGGTGTGTTGTCTCTCTGTCTCACTCATGGAGGAGATAGATAAATAAGCTAAAAAGAAAATAATCATATTATTTTGGAGCCAAAATTTTAAATTGTATTAACAAGTTCACGTTTTTTCAAAAGAATTATTATTTATTTACTTTATTATTATTATTAGAGGTTTCTGTCTTAGAGCACGTGCATTAACCGGAAAGAGAGAGAGTCAGAGACAGTGGGAGGGAAGGCGAGAAATCACCCCCAGGGGGCGGCCACGACGCAATCCCTTCTCCTCTCTTCTCCCAGGGTCTTGGGCATGCACATGCCCTGCGGGAATTTCAAGCCACTGGTTCTGGGACTCGAACCGTGATCAGCCATGTGAGAGTCCAGTGATGTAACCACCACACCATCTGCTGGCCCCTATTTTATTTGTTATTATTATTATTTTAAATTCGCTATGGAGGGCTGGCATGTGGTGTGGTGATTGGGGTACTGGACACCCACATGCTCACCATAGTTCAAGGGCTGGACCTGGCAGCTTCCTTTCTCACTTTGCCTCTCTCTGTGTCTCTCTGGTCAAATAATACTAATACTAATAATAATAGTAAATAAAATAATTCTTAAAAAATAAACTTGCTATCGGGCACATACACTCATCAGAGACACAGAGGGAAAGTGACAAACTGCCAGGTCTGGGACTTGAATCACGGTCTGCCATGGGGGATCCAGTGCCTGAACCACCACACCACCTGCTGGCCCCATCCAAATGCTCAGTATTAGGGGAAGGTAGGGGGAAGAAAGACAAAGTAATTTAAGAACCAGAAATGTTTGCTCTGCCTTCCTCCGCCATCGTGGTGCGTGCGGCCATTCTGTTCTTCACTACATCTTCTCACAAGACTTTCGGACTCAAGCAGTTTCTGGCCAAAAAACAGAAGCAAAATCATCCCATTCCCCAGTGGATCCAAATGGAAACTGGTGATAAAATCAGGTACAACTGCAAGAGGAGACGCTGGAGAAGAACCACGCTGGGTCTCTGAGGGGCTGGGCAGGAGCTGGCCCACGTATTTATGCTGAGCCAAGGCCACTATGGCCCTCCCGGATCACGCTGAACATGGCCACCACTGCCTGGGCACGCGGGGTGTCTTAGTGGAAAAAATGATGCTTCACTTTGTTTCCGTGTTCTGCATTGGTAGGTTGGTTCAGTAATAAATATGTGAGACCTTTAAAAAATAATAAAAAAAAATTTGTGTGTTTTTTGCCATATAGTGTATATGCTCACCAGAGAGAGACAAAGAGAGGGAAAATGAGCAATCGGCCCTGTGGGAATGGACACCCCACAGTCCCTGCTCCATTCTTTTCTTGGGATTTTGGGCATGCACCTGTTCTCAAGCTGCCAGGTCTAGGACTCAAACCGTGGTCAGCCATGTGGGAGTCCAGTGCCTTAGCCACCACGTCACCTGCTGGCCCCACTTTTGGGAGTTTAAAAAAATATATATTTATTTATTTAATTCCATTTGTTATTCTCATTATTTTTAATCTGACCAGACAGATACAGAGAGAGAGAGAGAGAGAAAGGGGAAGTGAGAGAGCAAGCCACTAGGTCCAGGTCTCAAACCGCAGTCAGCCATGTGGGAATCCAGTGCCTTTAGCCACCATGCCACTTGTCAGCCCCAACTCTTGGGAGTTTTAACAGACTAAAAATAAGCTACTATATAGATTTGCATAATGCAGTGAATAAGCGCGGTTTATTGCATGTACATATATAGTGTAAATGTAAATAGGGAATATATATATTTTGATTTTTGCTACAGAGCTTGTGTGCTTGCCAGAGACAGAGACAGAAAGACAGACAGAGAGGGAGAAGAGAGAGCACCCCCTGGGAAATGGTTATGCCACAGTTTGTCCCCGTCTCTCCTTAGGACTTCGGGCATGCTCATTTGCCCAGCATGCTTCTCAGGCCACGGGCTCCAGGATTCAAACCACATGGTCGACTGTGGGGTTTGGCTGCCTTAACCACCAGGCCACGGGGCTGGCCCTGGGAATAAGTATCTTCTTTTTTTTTTGGAGAGGTTTTTGCTATAGGGTGCATGTTCTCGCCCAGACAGACAGAGACAGAGAGACATAAAGCGAGAAATCACCCCCCCAGGGGGGATGGCCACGCCACCATCCCTTCTCCTCCATTCTCCTCTCGGGATCTTGGGCACGCACGCACACACGCCCGGCATGAGTTTAAGCCACTGGGTCCGGGACGCGAACCGCAGTTGACTACATGGGAGTCTAGCGACAAAGCCATTACGCTAACTGCTGGTCCTGGAATAAGTATCTTCTAAAACACACACAAAATCAATCATGTTGGGTGGTCGGGAAAGCCATGAAGCATTTTTGCATAGAAAACCAGAAAAGCACATCATGACTTTCCCAAAAACCTAATACATTTAGGCAGAAATAAAGCGCTATACATCTATTTTTTGGGAGGGAGAGAGAGGTTTTTGTTATAGGGTACATGTTTTTACCGGAGAGACAGAAAGAAAATGAGAAACGACCCCCCAGGGGGGAGGGCCACACCACAATCCCTTCTCCTCCATACTTCTCTCAGAATTTTGGACATGCACGCACGTGCGGCTGGCATGAGTTTTCAGTCACCAGGCCTGGGACTCGAATCACAATCGACTCCGTGGGAGTCCAACAACGTAACTGTTATGTCTCTGCTGGTCCTATCTAAAATGTTTTAAATGTAAAGGCCATGTTCTCTGATCATAAATAAGAAATTAATTGGAAATTAATAATGAAAACATAATATCCTTATCAATGGATATTAATAAGTAGCCTTTTGATCAAAGAGACATAAAAAAAGACTTTATGCATCGTCTATAAGGTAACGAAGAGAACACCTCTCCAGACCTGTGCTGGGGCTAGAGCCCAGAGTGCAGGTAATGCAGCTGGATCTCGGGGGGAGGTGCTCAGTCCTCACCCCGCGTCACACACGGGCATGTGCCCGCCTGGACGCTCAGTTTGGGCTGGCCGAGGCTGGGGGTGGATCACAACCTGAAGATCCTGTCCTTCTCTCATGGAAATAAACAAGTAAACCTAAAATAAGGCGGGGGAACAAAGAAACCTGGAAAACAAAACTTGTGGGATTTAGCTGACCTTGTCCTCAGTAAAAATTTATAAACAGACTGAGTTTGTTTTTCTTTTTTGCCAGAGGGCATGTGTGCTCACTAGAGCGAGACAAAGGGGAGGGAGAAAACACCCCTCTTCCTCCACTCCTGCTTGGGGCCTGGTCATGCCACAAGCCCTTCTGCATCCCTCCATGTTGTTGGGATTTGGGGCAGGCAGACACATGCGCCTGGTGTATATATATATATTTGCTATACGGCGGGCGCGTGCGCTCGCCAGACAAACAGAGAGAGACAGAGAGACAGAAAGCGAGAAATCACCCCCCAGTGGGGATGGCCACGTCACAATCCCTTCTCCTCCATTCTCCTCTCGGGATCTTGAGCATGCACACACACGCAGCTGGTGTGAGTTTAAGCCACCAGGTCCGGGACTCGAACCGCAGTTGACTACATGGGAGTCCAGCGACATCGACATTATGCCAGCTGCTGGTCACTGTTTGTGAAATCTTCGAGTCTGGTATTCTAACCTAGGTCAGCCATGTGAGATCTGGTTCCCTTAACTGCTAGGCTATGAGGCTGCCCCAAATGAAAATACTTTTGATAATTCAAATTACAAAGTAAGAAAAAGAATAAAATTAAATATAGTAAAATAAATTAAGAGTATTAAGATAAAATAGAAGATCATGAAAAATTATAATGGGACCAGTAGATGATATAATGGTTAAGTCGCTGGACTCCCACATAGTGGATCCTTGGTTCAAGTCTCGGACCCCGTGGCTTAAAACTCACACCAGATGTGTGTGCATGCATGCCAAGATCCTGAGAGGAGAATGGAGGAGAAGGGATTGCAGTGTGGCCATCCCCCTGGGGAGTGATTTCTCACTTCCTGTCTCTGTCTCTCTCTGTCTCTTCTGTAGAAAGCTGCTAGGCAAAAAAGGGGGAGAGGACCCCCCCCCCTCCCAGAGTGGGAGCGATGGTGGATTTTGGAAAGAACAATCACACAGAGACAGAGGCACACAAGTAGAAAAGCCGGGAATCGGGCCGACTGGATGTCTAGGGTTAGAATCTCAGATCCAGCAGCTCGACACCCCCCTCCCCCCATGTGTGTGTGTGTGTGTGTGTGTGTGTGCGCGTGTGTGTGCCTGAATCCCGAGAGGAGAATGCAGAAGGGAGTGCAGTGTGGCCATTCCCCGGGAGGTGATTTTGCACTTTCCTCTTACTGCCTCTCTCTCTTTCTCTCCAGTGAGTGCACGCACCCAATGGCAAAAATGTAAAAGAAGAAGGAGGAGAAGGAGAAAAGGAGAAGGAGAAGAAGAGGAAAAAGAGAGGAAAAAGAGAGGAAGGAAGGAAGGAAGGAAGAAGGAAGAAAACATTTTTGAAAACACATAGGGGAATCCAAAGTTCTCGAATAGGACAGTCACCACACTGGACTTGAGGTGAGAGGATTTCCCCTTGGGACGTCACAGCTTTCCACAGGCAGGATACGCTTGTGCTGTTTGAAACTACCAGGCCTGGGTAATAAATTGTGCCCTGCAACACGACAGCCAGGGGTCTCTGGGAAAGGATTTACTGGGCCAAGTTATCAGGCAGACGAGGTGGGACCTGCTGTGCAGTCCTCACAGAGGGGCCTACAAGGAATGGCAGAACCAAGGAAAGCCAGCTGTGCCCAGGAATGGGAAGGAGATTCCTGGGATTGGAGACTGATGGGGGGCGAGGGTGGGAGGGGAGACCTGGACTGGGACACAGGGGCTGCAGTAGGGTTTGGGTCGGCCATGTGGGATCCCAGAGCTCTTAACCATCACGCCACCTGCTGGTCCCGAGAGAGATTTTTGACGGAATCTCTCCAAGCTGAGTTCCTTCCTGCTGCATCCTCCGGGTTAGCTAGGATTACAGGCATGAGCCTTCATGGCTGGGCCTGTCCTTGAGTTTTGGAAGCTGTGTATTGAAGCCTCTCAGCGTTACAGAAGATTTTTCTATTTCTCCACACATTTCAAAGCTGTATTAGGTACATAGGCGACCATAATTCTTAGGTCTTAGTTTCAATCCTTCCTGACTGGAAAGGAAGGGAGAGAATAGTGTTGGCCATACCATTTCCAGCCACGGGAATGTCGACCAGAGCAGCAGTTGCTCATCCTGCCAGGAGAGTTTTCTGTTTCCAGCACTTTGGCTGGAGGACGTTTGTCCATCCTCCCCACAACTCCATTTCCTCCCTGACCCCAGGGTACATAAAAGAGATACTGTGAGGATAATACAGGTCACTGGCAAAGTTAGGTCGAAACAGATGTGTCAGGCCATGGGCAGGAGAGTGGAGCACAGGGCTGTGAAGTGGCACTTGTAACTCTAGTCATACCCTGGAAGACCTTCAGGAGCTTAAAATACCCATGGCGGGCTGGCCCCATAGCCTAGTGGTTGAGGGAGCTGGATCCAGATGGGCAACAGTAGCTTGAACCGCAGCTTTTGTGGTTTGAAAAACATGCCAGGTATGTTTGTGTGTGTGCCCCAAATCCTTATGGGATGGAGAAATGGAGGAGAAGAGATCATGGTATGACCATTCCCCACAGGGGGTGCTTTCTCTCTCCTCTCCCCAGTCTCTCTGTCTCTTTCTAGTGAACAGTATATGCCTCTGGCAATTAAAAAAAGTAGCTATGAGGGGCAGCGGTGGTGTGGAGGTGAATGAGCTAGATTCCCCCATGGCCAACTGTATGGTTCGAGCCCCGGACCTGGTGACTTGAACATCACACTAGGCATATGTGTGTATGTGCCCAAAATCATAAGAGGAGAAGGGATTGTGGTGTGACCATCGCCCTGGTGCGGGGGTGATTTCTCTTGCTGTCACAAGTGTGTGCTCCCTACAGCAAAAACTCAAAAACAAAAACAAAAGCAAAACAAAATAACTATGTTTGGGTTCCATTCAACCAAAA